GGGTCAAAATATCCAGTTTTATCGCATCATTAAAAGTGCGTGCGTTTTATTGACTTCGTCATCTTCTCTCGTAACATCCTGTGCACTGTCTAATTTGCATTTTCAGTGAATGACCGGTCACCGCAAATCATTCATTTCCTTTCATGCAGAATTTACGGTAATCATGCATGCTGGAGTTTAAGATTTCACAGGGCCGCATGATGCAACATTACGCCCCTGCCGCTTTTTCCCTTCGCATGCAAGAAAAGGCCAAAACAGAATCAACATGAGCCCATATGTTAAACTGTAAGGCAGCAACTATTTGTACTGTTAACTGTTTAACTGCTTAATGCTTAGCAAAAAAACGCATGATCGCATCGGCAGGCCTGATTTATCGCAGCCTGAGTTGTTTACATTCTGCACGTTTTGTTCCGTAGCTTTTCGCAGGGTATTGTAGGGACTGGAAATTACTCTTATTGTGCAGATTTTTAAGAATTTTTAGCAAAGTATTTTAAATCTCTTTTCATGGTTATGTATCATCTTGCAACTTTTGGCCGTCGACCTGCCTGGGTGGTTAGGGAGGAAGAGGACGGAAATGAGAATTAGCAGAAATGATTATTTTCCATTGTTTTTGCTATTTATTCCAATCAGTATTATGGCGGCCTGGAAGTCTGATTTGTCTGTTCGCAAGACGGAGTCCTCCGGAGGAGCTGTGGTCACTTTTCCCCTGATTCAGTACCTATTTGAGCAGCAATTCATAAACTGGGTTTTTTTTTTTTTTGAGCGAACGCTACTGCTTCGAACCACATGCCCATTTTCTGGCCTCATTGCTTTTGCATGCATTTAAAAGAATTTTTGGTGCGGCAACTGGGTGATTGCTTGAAAAAACTTACGACATTTTTTGTTGTAGTGCCAACCATGCGTAAAGTAAGAACATCAAGTAGAAAACATGACACGAATGATGGCGGTGGTGTTTGCAAGATGAGTGATGCAGCAGATGCTGTGACCCAGAACGGCAGTATTTTTTCTGCTGAATTGAATGGTGTCTTGAACGAAGAAACGCAGACGTCTTCCGATGTTTTCTGGGACAATGGAATGGTAGAACAGCGGGCATCCAATCTGGAATTGATCGTTGAGCCTCATGAACACGACGACGAAGCGACTACAACAAACCTGCAGTCAGCAGTAGCTTTGAATTCTTCCGAAGAATGGAAAGTGTTCGACTGTGGAGACAGTGATGCTGCTCCTGAACATTCTACATTCACGTAAGTTAGCCGAAAATGACCCTTCATACGCCTAGTGTTACTGGCTAGCTAATACTGATTTGTACTGGAACTGTGAGTTGTCTTAGTTCTGATTCCTTTTGTAACAAGGAGGAGGGCTTGGGCAGATGCGGGAAAGCGCCCAAACACCTTTTTATCAGTACAAGCGCAAGAATCAAAAAAAGCAACAAACCACGAAATAACCCGGCAGCAGCTCCAAGCTGCCACCGCACAACTTTTTGCAACACAGAAATAATTTCAAGTTCATTTCTAGTCACTATATTGAATATCATGGAGCGAAGAGACGGGACATTTGCATATCACAGGGAACTGAAGGGCAACTGGGCAAGGCGAAGGGGGTTTAGCCACCATCTTCGTTTCCTTGCTACTAGCACTTTTTTCTTTTTGCAGCACTGTAACATTCACGCTCTCCAGTGCTGTATCCCAGCCATAGTCGGATTCAGGACGGACTCCTGGGAGGGGAGGGGCAGGAGGTGTGGGGAGAGTGTGGCTGCTGGGGCGGGCAAAGGAGGAGAAGGGAAGGGGAGAGCCCCCTCCCACGCTGAAACTGTGCAAAAATTCCGAAAGCATGCCTTTTTCTCTCATAAGCGTAGTTTCAGGTTGGACCAGGACGAAACCGAACTGGAGAATTGGCCCATTAGTTCTTCCGCATTGTCAATGCAAGAATCAATCTTCGAAAATCAGCTGTGCGACGATTATGAAACCAATCGGTCTTTCTTTGTGCCATCGCCGCCGCAACTGTCGCCCGTAGCCGACCCAGAATGTTTTCTGGAGCCAGAAACAGCTCCGGTTATTTCACCGCAGACGGATATATGCGATGAGTCGGTGCAGGAGAACGTGTTGCTGGAAGCGCAAGAGCGGCTCATTCCGAACGGATATCGAAAGTCATTCAATCCGGATGAACACTTGAATGTGGGCAGCGGTGGCACAGTTCATGATTCTGTTCTGGAGAGTAAGGAAAAGCAAGAGGACGTGCAAGCAGTTGATCATGTCCAACAACATTATACCGAGGAAGCAGCTGATAACAATGACTTGTGAGTTTTTTTTTTTCAGTGGAAGCTTAGGATACCTGTTCTTGTTAAGGCTCAGTGCGAGACTTACTTCGGCTTTTTCAACCTATTTTCGAATTCCAGGTACTTGTACAACTTAACACGGGAAAAGATTTCGGAGGATGGAAGAAATCAAATTGTACTGCTCAGTGAGAGAAGTTATGGTGAGAGTGAGCTTGAACAGCAGATGACGACGCAACCGGTCGTGCAGCAGAAGCTGGTTTTCGTACCTCGTACGCAGCTCGTCCCTGTTAGTGCTTTCCCCTGTTTTAATTTCTAGGCGCTCATTCGCTGTCTCATTCACTCGTCTAGCAAGTTTTTTTGAATAAAAAAAAGAATTTTTTAGGTTGCGGTTGCCCCTCAAAAAAGAACTCATCGCTCGTGTTCGACATCATCGGCGGCAGAAGTCTACACTGGGTATGGTTTATTGCAAACAGTTGCTGCTATTCTTTTTTTTTTTTTACCTATTCTGGATGAAGTACACGTTCTTTTCAGCCCCATATCCTGTCGTGATGTCTACACGAATCAAGAGCAGATTTTTTATCCCAGTGCCAGACTGTTGACTGTACCAAAAAATGGGAAAACAACTGTGGATTATCCGCCACAGACGCGATCTTCACCACCTGATATTTTCACAAACGAGCAAAGGTTTGTGTTTATGTGATCTTACCGCTTATTCCGGATGTCTTTTTTGCATAAGTACAAATGGGCACATTCCGTGTGTTTACGCCTTCCGTATAGTTAGGTTTTGCTCAGATCTGGATTTTTGGGATTTCAAAAGTGCACTGCAGTGCCCGGTATAGTTTTAAGCAATTTTGACTTTTTTAACTCGAAAATGTTTTGTCTGCAGCTTTTTTTTCGATCATTTTTGCTTTCCTGGCAGTGAAATTTCTTGTTAATTTTGCCAACATTTTCGAGTATGTTCCTTCAAACAACCAGTTTGGAGCTCCAAGGGGTTTTTTTTTTTTTTTGCTCATTTTGTCCCACAGCCCAGTAAAACACTCAGATATGCGAACTACCGGTTCTTTTTGGGCAGTTTTCCACAGGTGCACTTTTGATGTGCTGAAATAAGCGATTTGTTTTTTGCCGGTGCCCGCTTTCCACTCCAACAGGAAAATCCTGAAAAAGCTGTTCAGGAAACTCGATGTCGCAAATAGTGACTTCGTTGTGGAGAGCATTCATCAACAGATCGACGGCAAAGCTAGCAAGCCTGAAATCGATTTTCTAGCCAAATAGGAGCTGTAGGAGTGCTCCATTTTTTTACAGAACAGGCTTCTGATACCTTCAAACAGGGTCAAATTTTGAAATGGCTACTGGGTTGTGCGAAATGATCTGCAGTTTTCTGTGACGTATAAATTGGATGCTTTTGCAAACGAGTGATTTCTTTCCAGTGTTCACGAGTTGCCGGATGATGTGGAAAGATCACTGCAGCTGCCGCTCATAAATAATGCTCCGAATTGTGTTGCGGGCATGCGTCAGCCTTCACAGCTCA